GTGCTCCTTAAAAAATCATGTTTATAGATAGGATGTGATTAGGCATTGAACACAACTATAATTTTTCATTAAATAACTATGAACATAAAATAGGTCCAGCAATATTGATTCACTTTTTTTGATTTATTACTCTTTTGGCTTGATATTTTATATTCATATTTCCAAGCAAAATAGTAACTTTAGAATGATTCTGTTAGAATTTGCCACAAAAAGTATACAAGTTTTGTTCGGCCTAACAGTAGGACATTATAACCAGCAGCACATCACAGAGTACTGAATCAGTTGTTCAATATAGGTTAGTTATGCAGTAGTTCCTGCTTCAGCCAAGTTTCTCAAATTGCCTAGTGTTCTTCTAGGCAGACTCTAATTTGAACGGTGAATCTTTTACTACGGTGGGCTTTCTCCTAAATTTGTTAGAATATTTCTTACTCTGGAATTCTTATGTTTTTATCAGGTTGCAATGAATGTGTATGAATTATCTTCAGCTGCTGGATTACCTTGTGAAATTGATCCTGCCTTGGTGGTAGCTCTTTCCTCACAAAAATCAGGTAAAATGCATTGGTAAATATTTAGTACTCACCGTTAAAATTACCAGGGCAACATAGATAGAGGTGTGATATTTATCCATTTATTCAAATGCCTGCTTTGTGTTAAGCTTTTTTAAAATTTTACTTTTAGTAGGTGAAACATACAGGTGCAGAAAAGCCAAAGATCCCTGCCTTCCCAAGCTTTAATGTTATTAGCAGAGTCATCATACAGATGATATCTAAGCCATACACTGGATGAGATTACTAAGGCCATTTAGTGTATGTAGATGCAGCAGTGAAGAGTATCAAGGTGTGAGCCTTGAACTACTCCAACTTTAAGAGCTCAGGGAGTAGAGGAAGAACCACCAAAAAGAAACTGAGAAGGGGAAGGACCAATGATGTAGAAGAACAACCAGGAAAGAGGAGATTCCAGGAAAGTGGAAAGAGAATAATCAGCTATGTAGAGTTAATGAGTGATGCTGACAAGATCAGTGTCAGTGGGATTTTAGGGGCAAAAAGCTGATTAGAGAGGACTTAACGGAAAATAAGAGAAAGGAATTGGAGAAAGTAAGTGTAAAACAACTTTCAAGAGAGTTTCCTTGTAAAGGAGAGCAAAGAAATAAAATTATAGTAAATGGAGGTAGGAGTGAAATCAAGAGGAGGATTTTTTAAGATGGGAAGATAACAGCATTTGTATGCTAGTGGGAATATGGTCCAGTAAATAGCAAAAAATTGATATCCAGAGAAGAGTATCCTATTTTAATTGGACTGGAGTTATTCACAAAAAGAGTCTGTGCAGTGTTATATAATATTAAACATTTACAAATTCTTTTTTTTTTTTT